TTAAGGCTGTTTTATCACCAAAACCTAGGGACTGTTATTTACCGACAAAATGTCTCGAAATTTGGACGCAATATTCGAAATTATGTTGCTTTTAAAATGATGGTATTTACTTTTTTTTTATTTTTTTGAAACTTCTGTTGAAAAATTGGATTATACTGTATAACGTTCTATTATAACCAAACTTTTTACGCCCATCACTTGAAAGAGCTTTTTTTTCTGTAATCGTTGATTTTTTTTCGCCTTTCTGTGTCCAGTAATAATGGAGAAAATCGTGTCAGAACTTTGAAGAAAATAATATAAAAATAATAATCAGAAAATAATTTGTGAATCGTCTTTGGTTGGCTGTATGTGTGGTTTTTCTTGTCGGGTAGTTTGTGGTTGGGATTCTTGTTGTATGCTTTCTTCTTTTGATTGTTGTTGTTTAGTGTGTGCCTGGGTTTTTTGAGTAGATAGATTAGTTGTATTTTCAATTGGGTCTACATTTGGGACTGGATTATTTGATGCTGAATTATTATCTGTTGTAATTGCAGTAGACATTGGGCAATTTTTTGTTAAGTGGTTGGTTTGTTTACATATTTGGCAAGTTTGGTTATCTAATCATAGGAAAATCCTGTATGTCGTTTCCTCATACGTGATAAGAAAAGAATCAGGTGAGGGCTGGTTATTTAGTGGAGATATGTATGTTTGGCGCCTGAAACTCAAAATATGCTGGAATTGTGATGTTGATGTGCCTATTCTTAAGAATGTTATAGGTGACTGAAGATTTAATCCATGTGATTTTAATGCTGATATTAGGACTAAGTGTGGGATTGAGGGACAGACATTGGACAATATTAATCGCTGACTGGGGCTAATTAGTCTACGAGCTTGTTGGTTTATTCGAATTTTTTCATTTCTGTTTATAAAATCCTCAGCTAGTTTTTTGTTAGCTAAATAAATACATACTCTATTATTTGATAATTTTAAACAGAAGATGATCTGGGTTGGTTGTATCAGACGACTCAGAGCGCACAAGTAATCATCTAGTTTGGTATTTTCAATTGCATCAAAAATAATTGCTTGTTTTCTTGATGGAAATGTATTGGATTGTGGTGTTTGATTTGTTACGGAAGAATATGTAGGTGATCCATTAAATTGATATGACGAGTAGCTGTTTCATGTATTATTATTTGTAGGAATTTCAGATTGAATAGAACTATACATTTTTAATTAACATTTATAACTGGAGTCCGGTCCTGGCACCCAACCTTCTTAGTCTGTAGTAAAACAGGTTTGATATACCTGTCCTTTTGTAGGTTATCCGAAATAATATTTGATAATCGTGATAATAATAGAAACTGTTATAATTAAAGTAACTTACTATCTCTGTTGTATTTATTTTTGTTATTTCACTGCTGGATCACTAATTAACGAAAATACTTTTAGTTTTTCACTAGTTTTTAAATTGGTTTTACGAGCTCGATTTTAAAACACGTATTAGCTACCATGTTCAGAGTCCAATTCCTATTATTCATTATTAACACGTTCACAATTGATGAAATAATCGTTGAAGTATTAAAATTATTAGAAGAAACTTTGAAATAAGTCTAAACACTTTGACAGTTTTATGACAGTTTTTAATCTACGTGATTGGCTTTAATGCAGATCGATCGATTTGTTTGGAGCAGCAAGTTCTAAAATAAAAATAGCCATTATGATTGCCAACCTCCGTAGGAAGGAGGCACTCTAAGAAGAAGACCACTCCATCAGTTTATATATTTTTTCCTTAATAATCTAGATATTTATTTATATTAAATGTATTATGTAAATGCCAAATAAAGTATATTTTTTTATAATTATGTTTATTTACAATCTACATCAAAAAAGAGTATTAAGTAAATGTGATACAGGTTTTGCTCGTGAAGGGGAGACATCCAATGATGTCTCACCTTATTCTACTTTGGTTTAGTTCTGAAGAAGGTCTTGGGGCCAGGTTCTATGTAATCTTCTTGTGGCTGGTCCATTGTTGTATAGTTCCCTTACTAGCTCATTTTCGTGGTGAATGGTACGTTCATTTTGTGACTCCGTGGCTCCATGAATTTCTTCTCTGATGAAAGGAACCTTTAAGTCATAATGGAGTGTTTGGTTACTTACGTACCATGGCGCATATATAAACTATAAAATTGGTTAAGCCGGCCCTTTTTACTATTTACCTAAAAGCTTTATAGCTTCGACTTTATTAGCGGGATTCTTTTAAATTCCGTATTTGATTGAATATATTGATGAAATTTGAATGAAAAAGTATTTGATTGAATATATGTATAATCTTTTGCTGCAGCTTACGGTTAGATAATAATATGTCAATTTGTATAATTTTTTGTCGACAATTTGCTAATATGTTTTCTTAGCTGTGTTTTTTTTTGTATTTTTCTGATGTTTTTAAGACAAATGCTTGTTTAGTATATTTATTCTTGAGTTCCTTCATAAATTTTAGGTTAAAGCATATTGGCGTATATTTTGTTTTACAGTTTAGCTTAATTTTGTGTCTTTCTTTGTCAAACTTTGATACTTTGTTATCTATTTAGCATCTATCATTTATCTATTTTTTTTATCTGCAATTATTTTTTACCATCTATATGCTTACTCCGTTCTCCCCAAGCCCCCCCCCCTAATAAAGCTCCCTGGCAAGAGCAAAGTGGTTTTCATTGACTTTTGTGCAATAAAAGCTTTTTATTCAAGTCCATTTCCATTATATTGATAGCACAATATGTATGCAAATCACTAAACTGTTGACACGGGTGACTCAATGAAAAGTAGATATTTGTCAACAAGTGTACATAAGTATATAGGAAAACAATTTTAAATTGACTATGATCACCAGGTATAAAGGTTGAAGCAGAATAGAATACAATAGTTTTAAGGGTTACTAATCCCTAAATAAAGTTGCCAGTGTCGGAGTAATGGAGATTAAGATTTACTAATAAATTTGCAAGAAATGTAAGATGTTTATTTTATTGGTTATGTATAAAATAATTTGTGGCGGTAACAGGGACCGATTTGTAAAAAAATGAATATTATTTTAATCAAATTTCATTTCAGATTCACTGCTTTCTTCAGAATCTAAGGAATCTTCAACTCCAATGTTAATTATTACCGGTTCCAGCATTGCAACAGTCATAATATCCAAATTTCACATTTTATTTTCTTTCTTGTGAGCATAAATAACAGCATTTTTTCAATTTTTTGGAGTTACTTTTGATAAGGAATGTTCTAATAATTGTTGTAAGTCTTCTAATTTAAAAGTTTTGTTGTTGCGTTCGACTTCACCCTTACTTGAGACCACTTATTTTCTATCGGATTCAGATCACAGTGGTATGGAGGTAAACCTAAAATAATTACATCACGGTTTAATGCCATTTCATCAATTATATATTTTTTATAAGCTGCTTTATGTTGCCTTACAATAGGTAATAATTCCTTTTTTGTCGAATTCTCCTTGTACCCAATTGCGTGTTTATCCAACCTTCGATTATCTCTCCTTTTTTCCATGCCGTTGTTGGCAATTTTTCTGCTAGTCTTGAATGGGAACTAGCATTATCCATGACTATGACATAATTTTTTGTAATTAAATCCAACATTTGCTCAAAACATTTTTCAAAAAGGTCAGCAGTCATTTACTCGTGGTAAGCTTCGGTTGATTTTGAGACAAAACTTAATAATCCACCATTGACAAAACCGTATTCGTTTCCAATATGGGTTATTAAGTCTGCGTCCTTTTCCAACGAGAATATTGTTTATTCCAGTAGATACACCTTCGATGAATGACTGACGGGAACTTTTCACATTTGTATCAACCCATAGATATGGTGCAGTATGACCTTCATTTAGCCAAGTCTCGTCCAAATATAAAATTGTTTTCCCGTTTTCTCGGTACTTTTTAATAGTTCTTAGATAATCTCGTTTCCAATATACAATGTAATCTTTTTCAATTAAAACGGATTTTCTTCTATTCTTTTGCCAACGAAATCCCATCTCTCTCAATAGTCCCCATAATTTCTTGTTGCTTATGATTGGTATCTCTTCGTTTTTTCTAATTAATGTTTTCTAATTAAAGTGGACGCCGCGTCTTATCATGTTTTTATGTATTTCTTCAATTTCCAAGGGGTTACTCCCTCCACTCTTCTTGGGAGATGAAACAGTTGTCCTTTTTTTTTAGGAATCTGTAAATTGTTGCTTCTCCAACCCCTGTCATATTTGAACAAATGTTAACGATTTCACGAACATTACTTAAAGGGCATTGATGTACAAGTGCATCGTGTACATATAATATTATATTTTTCTCTCTTAGACTGAAGGCACCTTTAAAACTACACTTAACCTGGATGAAACCTGTTTTATCCTCATTTTTAAATGCAAATAACAAAATATCGACACCAAAAACGTAGGTAGGTACATCTACAAACAATGTACATCTACAAACTAAATGTAAAATGCAAACAATTTCTAATTTATATTATTGGCATAAGCTGTAATGTGGCATAAAAACTACTTAAACTATCATTATTGAAGCTTTATCAGTAATTCCAGATAATCGTTCAAAGAAGGTATTCTTTTTGTGTCAGGCGATAACAATAATAACAATAACAATATAACAATAACCGTGTGGCATATATATCGACGTTTTTTACGCACAAAAAAGGTATGGTGAGATTAGTGGACACTTATTTTACAGAAGATTTTTTAAAAGATAGTGAATTTGACGGCATCTTAAAATATTAATTTTTTTTTATTTATTTCAAAACAAGTATAGGGTGACGCCTATGGTTTTTTTTGACCTGTTGAGGATTTGCATATATATACTGTGCTATCAATATGATGGAAAAGGACTATAACAACTTCTGTCAGCTTTTTCGTGCCAATTATAATAATCTTAATACTTATCAAATTATTAAAATGTTGTCCGTTGTCCCTTGATTTAAATTTCATATCAAAATAAAAGAAAAGTTTAAACAGCAAGTAATTATAGACTTTATTTTAACTAAATCACAACGTTAGATTGTGACAAATTGGTGCTGCTGTCCTATAGCATTCATCATAATCATTAAAATAATTACGAGTGGGTTGGCAGTTAAAATCGAGAATTTTTTCAACACAAGTATTATTCTCAACGTCCCATGACCACACAAGAGCAGCGCCTAAAGGCCATGGTTTGCAAGGATCTATGTGTGTAGGTAAATAGCAATCTGTAACAAGTTAGAAATAGTGTAATTTAGATATGGGCATTTTAAATATATACCTATACTCTTAAATTTAAAAACTAACATTAAATATTTCGAGTGAATAATTAAACGATGTTTCGTTTTTCACTTTGTATTTAATGTAACTTTTGGGTACATCGATTAAATCAGCAAACATTGTTCGGCGTAGCAGAGAAGCAGCAAAACGTATATTATATTCATTTGTATTAAAGTAATAATTTAATCATAGTTAAAATTAAATAATATTGATAGCAACATTTGTCAGCTTTTGACTACAAGGGCGGCAATAGATTCTAAAGATTTTTAACAATTTTTTATAGCTCACGATATCCCAAAACACTCGAAACAAACATTATCATATGTTACAAGTCTATACAAGTGTATACTTTATTAAATATATTTTCCATTACTTCGATGTGTTCGTCTAGAAATATCTTTATTATTTCAATTGGGATATTATCTTCCCCAATAGCTTTTCCGTTCTTTATCTGATTTACCGCTTTGATAATTTCTTGCTTTGTGATATAAGGTCCAGTCGATGCCTCCTGCATGTAAATGTTCGTCCTCTCTCGGTCTTGAAACATCTTTCCACGTATTGATAATTTTACGTAAACAAAACTAAATGTTTTTGATATAGCATTAATAAAAATAAAATAATTACCACTCTTTATGAAATCACAGGAGTCTGCCTCAGCCTTCGGAGGAAGAATTACCACAACGGCAAGGGAAATCAATAACAAAATGAACTTCATATTTTTACTTTTGGAAAAGCAACAATGAATTAAAACAATTTAATGAAATAATAATTATAAATTTAGAATAAGCAGCCACATTTTAATCAGATATAATATATACTTTCTTAAATCATATATCAAATTTTAATAACGATAAAATTTGATACACCTATTGATATTTTTATTGCAACCAATAAAAGCATAAGTATAATGGGGGCGTGCGTAAATTTTGCGGTAATAAAAATTAAAAATAAATAGAAAATATATCAGATTACATGAAATAAATTAAGTGGTGTAAAGATAATTAATATTACATTTGCTTATTCTATCTGTGTTTCCGTATTAAAACCCCCAGCGCTCCCTTTCCACAAAAATTACTAATATTATAGTATACGTCATATGCCAATGGTTTATTATAAAGAAATAGTTATTAAAAAAATATTTTTTATTTAATAAAGAAATTACTTTGTTTATAAAGAAATGAAGGCTTTGTAAAATTTATAAAATAATAATATTGTATTGTCTTTACATATGATTTAATCACTATTACATACTACATAACGACATAGAGCAGGGTCGATAATTTTTGAAACCAAAAAAAAATTATAGTAGAATAAAACCTATTGGAAAAAGAAGAGAATATGCTAAATTTGGCAGAAAAAATAATTACACTCCATCCGAGATCGAGAAGTGGGGGAGGGGGGGATTAAGGGTAAAAATAGGTTTATCGCGATTTTCGGCGAAACTACAAGTGCTATGAAAAAAAGTTAAATAGCAAAGTTGTAGGTAACAAAAATATCTATAACTTTTGTATTGACACTTTTTTCACATAACCTAAAATTTCTGTGAAAAATTCAAAAAACGAAGTTTTTGATTTTTTATTTTTATCTTTAAAAAAAAATTACGAAACTTGGTGAAAACTTGCCTTAGTATGTATCAAATACATTGTAATTTTTTAGAATTGAAAAATTTATTTTTTTACCTGATATTCATTTATTATCGAAAAGACACCCTAATTTCCAATCAAAAATTCACGTGTCAAAATATCAGCTTTTTTTAAAAAAGTTGGTGGGCTTTTTATTCGTTGAGATCTCTTCTTTCCGATAGTGTAAAAAAAAACATTACTATGGGAAATGTTCACAAAAAACGAAGAAAACTCGAACCGAACAATTTTTTTTATGATTATGTACAATTTTAAAATATTTCTTATAATTAATACTGTAATTAGTCATATAGCTTAACATTTCATGAGACAATAATAAAAAAATTATAAATCCACAAAACATGCAAAAAACATGCAAAGATTGCAAAAAGACATGTGAAAATAGCTGTTAAAAATATTCAATATAGGTGAATATGTGAAATAAAGTGAATTTCATCAAAAAAATGTGACTGCTATACGATTTTTTTCTCAATTTTCTCAATTTCTTTCAATCTTACAATATATATAAATATATATATTTATGATGTATATATTTATCATAATATTTTTTAGGGTATTAATTTTTGCCTCTTTGATGGCATTCCTTCGTTGACTTCTGATTCTAGAAGATCTTCGAAATCTTCAAGGCCATCACCGTCTTCATCTCCAATATTGTTTTCTGTCTGTGTTAGTTCCTTATTCACAATTTCATCAGAATCATTATCATTAATTTTTTCGTAGGCTTTTTCCTCCACATTAGAGCATTTTTCCGAGCCGTGACAACTTGAACATAAATTTGTGCATTTCAAACCATGTTTTCGGCAACCACAGTTTAAATTGTTAAATCCAGTTTCTCAGCTGCAGCAAATAATTTTAAGCAGTATTTCCGGGATCAATTTTTTTTTGTAAATTTGGGCATAATGCCTCGTTACTGTCAGTTCGTTGCCCAGCCATGTTTGAAGCTGATAATGTGCCCTGTAATAATGTTGTCCTGCTGCACCTTCTGTGGGTGGGAGATTACCAATACGAAAGATGATTTGATTTTTGCCAATTGATATTTTTGAAATCGTAATTGATTCAGCGTTAGCTTATCATTTTTGCACTTATAGATTTGATTAATTGTAATCCATTTTTTGCGATATCTTGTTTATTTCCATCTTTTTCATAAAAAATGTTTTGGTAAAAAATGCCAAACTTGACAAATTTTTAGCGTCTGTCAATCCAGATGTTGCATCGCAACCTAAAACAATGCAGAAATGCAATGGTATTTTTGCAAGATTTATATTTCAAACTATTCGACGTGAAAAATTAATCTTTTACAGTTCCAGAGCCTGGTTTGAGAAAATAAATGTCATTATTATTTTCATTTAATTGAATAAAAAGGACCAGAAGATCAATATCTTGACCCACAATAATGACAGTTTTATTTGTATCTCTGGCAATTTCTATCGAAGTCTGAATTATATCAGCATCAGCATCTTCTTCTGCTTGTTTACAAAAAAATCCTTGTGACTGTATTATTTCCATTAACGTTTTGATTATGGTGTCTTTGTTTTTCGCGTTTGATAAAAATTTTTCCTGCAAAAATGGTATTTTAGTATGATGTTAATAATGAAACTTTGAAATATTGTCTGAGGTTTTTCTACAACTTTGTTCTCCTTTTTTAGTTGAATGAGATGTTGGTGCTGGTGTCACAGTTACTGATTTTTCAATTTTGGATTAGCTGTCAAAAACGAAATAGCTGCCTGCTGCATAATGTTTTTCGACATAGCGCAAATATATATTCAATGTCTCTTCCACTGTTTCATTTTTTTGCCACATTACTTTTGCAGTAAAAATCCACCGTCGACGACATGCACAATGCTGTCAGTATGCGTTGGTCCATTTGTACTCACAAATAATTCGTAGATCTGAGATTTAACGTTTTTCCTGAGACCATTTTCAGTAAACAGTGACAATGACAAAGGTGCAAGTTCGTATTTTAAATGAGTTTGCGTATCTTTTTTACTGTCTGTGTACTGTTTTTTACTGTGGGGGAGAGTAAGAAAGTATTTGTGGATAAATACCTATAACTTTGGTTTGGATCAAACGATTTTAACGAAACTAATTTCATTAGAAAGAGTGTGGATAAATTAATTCATATCTACTATAAAATAATTGTATTTAGTTTTAATTGTCGTAGGTAGAGGGTACTTTCAAATAGAAAAAATTTAAAATTTGTTTATCTTTAAAATGTTTAATGGAAATACCTATTTATTGTAAATGATAATGAAACTGGAATAAATTTGTAATAAAATGGCGTAAACCGCATGTTAATAGCTTTTATCGAACTCGAGATATGAATACAAACGCATATACATAAGTAAGTATAGTATTGACACACCCTGTATTATAAATTAAATTAAAAAGTAAGTCAGTAGGTACTTTCAATTTTTTTATTGCAGAAGAATCTTAATGTTGATACCTATTTTGACCATTGGTTTTTCATATGATTAAAAATAGTTTTTTCGAAACTAAGTAGGCTACGACAATGAATTTGACGAGGAGTTCATATTGTTTATTTATTGACAACAGTCAAAACATTGTTAAGAAGTGTTATATTATAATTCGAATTAAAGATTGCACTTTTTTCAATAGATATTATTATTGGTAATATTAGTAATTAATTATCGGTACGAATAATTCGTGATGAGTATATCAAATTGTATGATATGATTGGAGTTTATTACAAATGTTACCAAATGACGCTATTGCCTCACTTATTTATTTTGTAAGATATCCTGACAGAAGACAGTATGGCAAAGAAGTATTTGAAAGAAAGGCAAGAAGATTAAGAGAAACTGGTAGTTTTTCTCGTCCTTGTTTTAACAGACGTCGTAGAGGTATGACCGAAGATAATTCAATCAATGTTCTTGCTTTAATTCAAAAGAATCCACCAGTAGTCAGCAAATATCTACTTCTTTAAAATAATGTCTCCTGTCAAGATATCTTACAGAATATATACGTGAGGCAATAGCGCTATTTTGGTGATATTCGAAATAAACTCGAATCATATCATACAATTTGATATACTCATCACGAATTATTAGTACTAATAATTAATTACTAATATTACCAATTATAATATCTATTAAAAATATGCAGGAAAAGTTTGTACAAACTTTACTGCATTTCTGTAACGCTCGCTGATAGTAAGTTATGTAGTCAGTTTGGTTTCTGACGATATTACGGGGAGTGTCTGGTGAAGGTTTCCATGTATATAATCTCCGTTTAGGTAGTTTGAAAAAGGTGTTCAATATACATAGGTTATGTTCTTTGCAAAAATCTGCGAAATATTCTTCTCTTTCATTTTTATCGCCCAGTCCATAACATCCAATAATGTTACTCTGTCTGCCTTTTCATATCTTAGCATTAAGGTCACCCATCAGAACGGTAAGATCTGTAGTCTTGAGTTGGTCAGTAATAGTCTTTACATCGGTGTAGAACTTTTCAAGTTCTTCTAGTTCACTTTTTGCTGTCGGTGCATACACTTGCATTAAATTTATATTTCTGAGTTTCGCGTTCAACTGAATCACTATGACCCGTTCAGATACCTGTCATATCGCCCTGACACATTTGCTAACCTCCTTTGAGACTATGAATCCTACACCATTACGATAATACTTCTTACTGTCTTCTCCTGTATAATATACTTACATTATATGGCTATCAGATTAAATTGTATACCAAGTTAATAAAGGAAAGTTTAAAGGCCAAGAAATAACACGGTTGGTTAGATAGAATTTAGTAAGTTAATTCACAATGTTAGATTGGCACAAACTGGTTCTGCGGTTTCAATACATTCAGCATATGTTTCAAATGAATTTCTGGTCACTTCGCATCTATAATCAAGAATAAATTGCATACAAGTATTATGCTCTACGCTCCATGTCCATGTATAACCAGAGCCTGTACTCCGTGGAATGCAACGTGGTGAGTGTATGGGTAAATAGCAGTCTGTAACAAGTAAGAAATTATTTAACCCCGATATGCCTGACATACAATAAATTGTACAACACAAATATCGTTTAACTTGATTATCTATAAGGATCATATTTCTTGATAACCGCCCAAATACTTTCAGTATGTATTAATCGACCA